ACAAAATAATTCTAGCAACAATGTAAAACACGCGCAAACTAGTAACTAACTTAGGTGGTTAATCCAATTAACTCGCCTAATTAAAACTAGTCAAAGTTGTTATCTGATAATGTGAATTAACACAATAATAATAGCTCAAACGATTAATGAATCTCCTACTAAATTTCATATCCAACTTAAATAAAATTAATCCATTTAAAATTAATTAAGCCGGTTAAATCCAAAATTTTGCCATATTATTTTGCAAGTGCCGGGAAAAACCGAGGCCTAGCCTCGTTTTAATTAAAACCAGACCGCAAAAAATCGCAAATTAATAGCCCCTCAACGGGCGAGTGCCTAGCATCCAAGCCACGAGGCTCGGCTTGTTAAGCACCAAGGCTTTACTGCCATGCGTGGGTGCTGCCTGCGCAGGCATAGCACCGTGCAAGCCACCTACTAGTCACTGGCAGTGTCGCAGCATGCTCAGCATGATTGCATCTCACTGGCGCTAGCAGCGTGCTTGTGCGCTTGCTGGTGCTTGCCGCAGCCTTACGGTGCAGGATGGCGCTGCATAGCAGTCATAGCATTGCACCACATGCACGCACTGCCGCACCAAGTGCTGCTACTCGCACACACTTTACACCAGCACGGTGCACTACCTCGGCAGCCTCATGTGGGCTGCATAAGCTTCTCAGCTAGACGAGGCTGGTTCTCGTGGCTTGGTGCCTCGTTTTACTTGCTTATTGGAAGGAATGGTGTCCTTCGAACAAGTGTATTATTCCGATAGAGGATTCGGAATTAATTAGAAAGCTAATTATTTAGTGAGGTCATGTGATCGGAATGCCTAACTGGAGGACGCTTCCGATCAGTAATATTAAAGAATAATTAATATTACAACTTAATCTTGACTGAACCCTTTGGGTCACACCCAATCGTGTAACCGAACTGAAGTCACGAATTAATCTGAAGCATTAAATGAGTCGACAGAGATTTTACGAACTAAGACGTCGGATTTCGAGCTTAGAGCGTCGAAGTTGAGCGTCGTAAGTTGAGTCGAATTTAGAAATCGAAGAGACGGAAAATCTGTCAAACAACAATTCAATGCACGTGAAAATCCTAGCCTCGATGTGGCATAGCTAGTCGAGGGCTAAGTAGGCTAGCATAGCTAGCCGAGCACCTTGTCACAAGACAATTCTTATCCACAAGCTCGGCATGCATCGCATGCACTGGCTGGGTGAGATGGCCGAGCAGCCATGCGGGCAAGGCTCGCCAGCATGGCGAGCATGCATACGGGGAGATGCTCTAGCAAGGCCAGCAGCTAGTAAGGCGTGCGAGGCCTGCTGGCTTGGCTGTACATGTGTGCGAGCTGGTTGGCAGGCCTAGCCGAGCACCAGGCAGCTAGCAAGCCGTACCTTGGTGCCCAAGGCTGAGCGCCAGCTAGCGCCACATGGTTGTAAGGGGTGGTTTGCCTTGGGGAGCAAGGAAAGGTGGTCCTTCCCTTGTGGTCCTCACCTACTCCCTTGCTCTTCTTGCACCACTTGTCATTTGATGATTGTTTTGGCTGTTTAATTTAATTTGGAATTAAATGAAATCTTATTTTTGCTTTTTATCAAGTATCCCACATTAAAAGATGAAGGAAATTCTTGGGAAGATTTCCCTATATATACCTATCATTGGGTATTGGGAATTTCAGCTGAGTTGGTGAACTTTAAGGGATCTTTAAAAGCGAGAAAACCTTTGTTCTTAAACTCTAAGTTATTTTTGGTCTAGCCCCGACTAAGCTTCGGGGTAGGGATCGGTTATGGTTCAGTATCGAGGGTGTGAGCCGTCGGAGGTTCTCGCACTTGCGAAACTTGAAGCTTTCAAGTCCGAGCTTATCGGTTGAGCGAAACACGCTTCTAGCTAGGGTGAGTATTTTTTTCTCTCTCTTCTCTATCTTCTCTTATGTCTATGTTTATTTGCATGCTTTAATTTATGTTGTAATTATTATGCATGCGATCCTGTTATCGTGTTTTATTTTCGTTCGGTGTTGGACACCGCAAAACCCAACACTTATGCCTCGGAATTTTATTCCGAAGGCATTTTATTCCGATTTTGTGTGTTACATAAGAAATTAATTCTGTCAAATCTCATTATTAATTATTTTGGGATACATTTGATTTTGGCATACATTTGATTTCGGTTTTCCGATTAATCCTTTAGGATCTATAGTTAGTGATGTTGTTTTTTTGTGATGTCTGATTAGTCTCAGTGGCTTTTGAGACTGGTGTTTGCGTCACTTCCTCTCCGGCCATGGCGGTTAACCAACAGTCTCTGCTAAGTTGGCGAACCTAAGGTTGAGATGATCCTTCCCCTTCCTTCTAAGGCCAATTGTTCTGGGTACAGATCTAGGGGTTCAGACTGGGGCAAGCTGGGTCCAGCTAGTAACCTGTGCATGCAAACACACGTTACTGCCCTCGGGGGTGGCTCGAGGAACCTCCCTCTGATGCTTAAGTTAGAATGTATTTTTAGAGAGAGAAAGTGTACTTAGAGAGGTAGAGAGAGTGTAATAATTTGTGTGTCTATCCCCTTTTTCGTTTTACTTGGTTCCTTATTTATAGGTGTACGATCTCCTTTGGGCGGAGTCATACATGGTCAGCCTGCGAGTTGGCTCTATCGGGCTGGTGAGCCCCTCTGAGTGCTCTTCCAGCTGGGATTGCGCACCCTGTGAGCGAAGCTGGGAGCCTGGTGATAGCTCAACAGGAGCTATTCCACACACATACAAATACCAAGATTCAAATGCAAGGTTTCACACCTTAGGGGCTTACTTTAGGTCTTGAGCCTTTATCCCCTCTTCTTCAACTTTTAGCTTAACCCCGTTATAATGCTTGAAAGACCTCCATGAGGTGTATGCACACTTCTGCGAGGTTCGGCTAGAATTACGTTATGCCTATTTCCTAACGGATACGTAAGCAACCTCACATTAGGGTGCGGCCATAATAATTATTCGTCACATATTCATCATGATCATATCAAGGGATCTCCAATGCTCATCCCTATCCATTTAGAGCTAGACTTGGGGGCTTGATTCCTACTTTATTAGCCTACCCAGCCTAAGAGTCACCATTATTTGGCTCCTCTCAAAATATTTTTCCATACCCTTAACCTTTGCAACGTAACCTTAGTGTCACTCTCACAAACACCACAAATACGTAGCCTAATAATCCTTCCTTTTGGAACTCTTTCTCATGAAATCTTGATACAACTCTAAAGCATGCCTTGTCATCTTCGAATCACTCATTGTCATAGTCATCAACGCATCACAAAGTATGAGGTACTTAGCCTCCTAGCCTAAATTACTTATATACTTTCATTATAGGATGCTACAATCCTTGCACCATGAAACACAACATTAAAGCATACTCTTGATTAGGCACATTCAACATGCATCATTAGTCGATTCATTCGTTTCATCTTTTCTTTTGGGGAAGTTCTAAAACTTTGTTTTTCATCAACACTTTACCTCTTTTCATTTTCACATATTTCTTTTCGAGAGAAAGTCGGCATCCTCCACAAAAATGACGGAAATTTTTTGTTTTTCTGCATTTTTTAGTGCACGAGCACAATTAAAACACAATGCACACACGAGTCATGTCCTGTCACCACATCAAGTCATATCACATCGAGTCGAGTTGAGTAAATTGAGTCATACAATGAGTCAAGTACAACAAATCTTGGGTCAACTCCAAGAAAACCACCAGCAAAGTCCTTTGGCAATATTTGATTTTACAGGATACACCTTTTCATCGAAGCTTATGTTCGGATTCAATCGAGCTATCTCATTAATTCATTGAAGCTTCTGTTCGCAGCCAATTGGACACTCTCACCACTTATCTTTCCAAAGCTCTTTTGTTCAGAGACGCGTAGAAATTTCATTTAAAGCTCTTTTGTTCATAGACGCATGGACATTTCATCCAAAAGCTCTTTCAGAGACGCGTGGACATTTCATTCAAAGCTCTTTTGTTCAGAGACGCGTGCAATTACGCATCCCAAAGCACATTTTATATGTTAAATATCCACAATTATATAAGAGTAAAAATTATAAAAAGATGATATTGTGAAAGTATTTTACGAGACGAATCTAATAAGACCCCACAAAACTATATTTTACTTTACGTATAAATCGTAATATGCGGTCAAACAAACGTAATGAATAGTACAAAGTCCAATTATTGCAATATTACTAACTTCTTTCCCCCTATCTCAACTTTATTATTTATAATTATAACACAATTGTTTAAGGTCAGCCTCTTTTAATTACCACCTCTAATTCTGTTGCATTTGTGTATGATTAACATCATAATGTATAAGAAGAATAAGGTTGTTGAATAATAAGTGTATGCGCAGATCATTCCAGAATAAAGGTGAGATTACTATTAAAGCTAATGACTAAAGACTATTCTAAATCTAATATTTAATTTTGGGACGTTTTAACACATGTAAAGCAACAAAATTTTATTTATGTGTGTGGCGATCAGTAGGGGGGCCTGGCGAGAGATGATCCAACAACATGAAAAGCCAATCCAAATAAATGGATGTGTTGGCGCTGACGATGACTGAAAAAGTGAGAAGGGGTGATTAACCAAATTTAAAAAGATAATTATCCGCCGTTTTGGATTTTGTTATTCAAAGGGTTCTTACTTTTGATGTATACATCCACCGGGCATCACTTGCATTACAGTACATTATGGGATGTCGGCCATGTGTTATTTTTGGATAATTTCATTTCTTAATCCAATTAAAATATACCCACTTATTATTTTTACACTAATTAAGCAAATAAGTCATGGTAAGTGGTTGTTTATAAAATTTATGAAGCGCTTATTTGTTTGGATTAGTCGTATTTAAGTGATTAGTGATTTAGTTTGGAGGTCATATTTGTTTCTAGTGCCCGTTAAATTATAATACATGTTAAAATAGGATTTTTTATTTGTTGAATCAGTGCTTGAGTTTGAGTTAGAATATTTTATTTTATGATATAAATGAACGGGCATGATTTACTAATGAGTATTGTCGAATCTACTAGTTTCAAATTTCAATGGGTGAAGGTAATATTACATCCTTAAATAAATTATGGTGGATTTAATAGATTGAAGCTGTCTTATCAGGTTGGAACCTATTACATGTTAATTTTTTATTACAAATTAAAATGTAAAACTCTAAGATAGGGGGGCCGGGGAGGAGAGGGTAGTTTAGGAGAATCCCATTGACGATTATTATCAACACCCGTTGATTAAGACTCTAATCGTCTATAGTTGTGTTAATATGCAGATGCATACAAGGTGGACGACTTTTGTTAAGTACTACTGACGTCGGATGTATGTCATACTCATGGTAATCATTCTGCTAAACAGAGAGTATTACTCGTTTTGCATTAGTGTTATCTAGCCACCACTTTGGCTGCCACTACCTATATATATATATATATATATATATATATATATATATATATATATATATATATATATATATATATATACATGAGTTTAGATGAGTATAATTACAATACTTCATACTTATAAACTGTTTTCTATTCATTACATTTACATATTCAAGCTAATTAGCATGGCTGTAGTACGAAAACCCATTGCTAGTGTTCTTCCTTATCCTCAGCGCACTTACTGTTTTAGATTCGCGTCTTTTACCTACGTATGGTGACAAGATGATAGACAGTAAAACACTATTACGTAAGTTAGGGGTTGTTGCTCAGGAGTTCAAGCATAACTTACACGAAATGGCGGTCGAGAAAGCAGTAACAGAACGACATGCTCCGGATGGTCCTGATCCTCAACACCATTTTATTCCTTCAGCAAAACCATAGTACAATTATGCATGTCATTTATTATTGTGGCTGTTGCCTATTTAGTAGGTCGTTATAAATGGTTATTATCGTAACAAATATGTACTGCAAGTATTTTCTAGGGGAAGTTTATCTCATGCATTATCAGCAATATGTATATGCAGGCATGCAGTACGTGTTCTTTGCGTCTCTATGCAAATATTCATTACCAGTTAATAATTTTATTTTCCTTAAAAATTATATTGAGTTGTGAGGTAATTGGAATTGATGAAATAATTATTACAGAGTACATAATCTGTAAGTGTAATGTTTATTCCTTGAAAAGTAATATTTGTCATAAATAAGCAAATCTTTGTCTATTAAGCACAAAATAAGTAAACATTTTGATTAAGTAAGACCCTGTTCACTTCACCTTAAAAAAAATAATATTCAATAAAATAATATCAATTCAGTAAAAATAATTTTAGTTCAGCAAAAATAAGTTAAGTTCGGTAAAAATAATTTCAGTTTAGTAAAAATAATTTCAGTTCAGTAAAAATCAGTAACTTTAAAGAAAAAATATAACATAAAATCAGTAAAAATAATTTTAGTTCAGCAAAATTAATTTAGTTAAGTAAAATTAATTTTAGTTCAGTAAAAATAATTTAAATTCAGCAAAAATAATTTCAATTGATTAGTAAAAATAATTCTAGTTCAGCAAAAATAAGGTGATATGAATGGGGTCTAAGAATGAGTTAATTATTTAAAAAAATTATTCCAAATTAAAAAGAGTTATGACCTATTTGTTTTGGAAGTAACCGGTTGTATAGATTAATTATTCCACATGTCATTTTCTGATCAATTCTATTTTAATTTAATTCATTTACAAATGAAAATTAATTATTATAAGTAATAATTATCAAAAAAATTAAAGACCCTCCCATCGCAAGTTAAGCCCCCCATCGGCCACTGCAACTAGGTCCCCTCGTCGACCACCTCCACGTACTCATCCCTTACCCACTGTCGATCCCTCTCTCTCTCTCTCTCTCTCTCTCTCTCTCTCTCTCTCTCTCTCTATTTTTATGACAAGTTTCAAGGTAGGGGGGCTTTTTTCATCAAGTGGGTATTGGGTTGATTCGGGTTGCGTTTTCGAAGTAGATGTGATCAAATTTTAGGGTTTAGGGTGGGATTCGAGGCAGGTAAGGTGGTTGCAGGAGGGTTTTTCCATTTTGGAGTTGGGAGGATTAAATTTGAGGTGGATGAGATGGTTAACCCTTAACACATAGCTGCTATTTATTAGCAAACATATAGGATGGAAAAATGTACCACTACATGTATAATAGGTGACAAGTGGTAAGTATTATGGGGGAAAATATTTAACCTATAGGATGGAAAAAAGTACCACTACATGCATAATAGTACACAAAAAGTACTATTAAGACAACTTATACTTTAATGGTACATTATATGGTACATTATAATGTACCACTGTAGAGTTAGATTTTTTCATTTTTTAACTCTAAAACGTGCCAAATTTACATTTCCGCCCTTCTATATGCTTTGTAAACGCATTGCAGTTATGCACTGAGATGCACTCGGATGAGATGGTGTTCAGGTTGGTTTTGGGTTAAAATAATCAATGATAGATATTATGACTCTTAATTAGTAAAAAGTTTGACAAATTTTCATGAACTAATGATTGATATTATGACTCGTATCACAATTATCCTATGCCACACTATTATTTAATAAAAAGATTGGCTTATTTTGAACTAACCACACAACGGATTGCGTATTAGTGACAAATTATTTTATAGTTACCATATGGTAAATATCTTTAATTACTTAAAATCTTCTTGTACTATTACTTTTCAGGGTTTATCAATGTTATTTATAGCTTTATTATTGGCCACAAGTACCAAAAGTTGGAGCTTATACCTGTTGATATGTGAAGAATTTTGATGATTATGAGAAAAGCAAACTTCATCTAATGAGGTTTCTCTAGTGTTGGAATAGTTTGCAGGAGAAGTAGACTCATGGAGTGGAAGAGTAATCAAAACTATGAAGAATACAAGAGAAACAAAAGAGAGTATATGTAAGAATAGCAGAAGAGTTGCACAAGGAAATAGACTAGTGATCCTCAACATGACACAGGAAGAAGCTTCCTAATAGGAGCAGAGCAGTAAGCTAAACTAACTAGCTTGGTTTACATTAAAGACAACAAGTTCAAGAGGAACTTATGCTACGAGTTTCAGCAAAGATGCTGAAGAAGAAGGGACAGCAGGATTTCTATCCAGGTCTACAAAGTACTCAAGTTCCTATTACAATACAAAGTTCAATGGATACTATTTGATGATAAGCTTGAAGACTTTTAATAAGGTTTTATGACAAGTTTAATTTCTATAGGTTGTTGTAAATATGTGATAAGTTAACATGCATGAAAACTATTAAAAACATGATAAGGTTTTGCAAGCTTATAACACTGGAAGATTTACAAAAGATAATTTTATGTTTATGAAAAAGATAATGATTTTACCATTAAGAATCTGTTTTACAAATAATTTATCTTTTTCTGAACTTCATCTTTATTCGATTTCGCAAATGATTTTCTTAAATGATACATTTATACTCGAGTAGTTAAAAGGATTTATATTCGAATCTATTTACTATTTATCTTTTAACAAAAACCCTATACTTTGTTTATTAATGTCTCTTTTAAATAAGAGACTTCATATTCTGAGTAAAGCGTGAATTTTATGCGTGAGTAAGTTTTCCAATGTTAAGAGCTTTATAATATAAGTTTCGGGTTTCATTTATAGGTTTAAATCACATATTAGAGTTTAACTTTTGTGTTGTTTTGATATTTGGGTGTGTGAGTTTATCTCTAATACACAGTGAATGAGCTTTGTGTGTGAAGCTGTGAGATTTGTACTCGAGGAGCACTGAGTGGAACTTAACTATTGGACTTAGGTTGGGTAGGATAGGGTCCTACTGTGCAGCAAGTTTAGGTAGGAACTTGTGAGACATGTCCGATTATAGTAGGATGTAACTAGGAGTGTTTGGCATATTATAGTGAATTAGTTGAATGTTTAAAATCCGTTGTGGTAAAGGTTTTACTTCCAGTTAGGTCCTGGATGGTTTCCTCATAAATATTGTTGTGTTTTTCAAGTTCCTATAAGTTTAGTTTTAATTTTCGCAGAAAGTAGTCACTTAGAAACCTACTACAATTCACCCCTCCCCCTCTTGTATTAGTTCATCTTAACTAATAATACCCTCTTATCAATCCATAAAGTTTTACTTCCTTTTTTTTTCCAAGTGTTATACTTTGACTTTTTTTACTATTCATGTAATTGTTTTGACTTGTCTATTTAATTAATGTATAGGTTAGAAATGTTACTGTATGATATAGGTTAGAAATGTTATTATATGATATATTGTTGTATTCGTCACAATTTATACTTTAGTCATATTACTTTTTCTATTATTGTTTTTTGAAATATTTTTTTTATTATTTTTGTTAACATATTAGTAGAGAAATTAATGGTTAATGTAATATCTCGACATGCATGTTTGATCAAAGTGTAACAACGAAGAAAACAAAGGAAATACTTAGTTTTACTTTGGGCAATATTCAATGCAAAATTTTAACAATATAAGGCCCTATTCTTTTGAGCTGTTATGCTCTACTCTACTCTTCTAAGTCCTGCTCTGCTCTGCTTAAATCTGCTTTGCTCTACGTACTCTACTTAATAATAATAATAATAATAATAATAATAATAATAATTAATATTTAAAGATAATAATAATAATAATAATAATAATTAATGTTTCGGGGTTTTTTGATGTCCTTCGGGAGAGTTACAATTCCAAGACCGACCTCTGGACGCCTGAACCTGCAAAACAACGAAGACTCCTGTGGGTGGGATTTCCGCCTCCGACAATCAAGTTAGAACGTGTTTGAGGAGTAAGGTGCGGAAAGTAAAGGGTCTCTCTTGGATTCCAAGAGAGTATCTGCAATGTGTAATTGCTCAGTTCGAGGTGTTAGATGTCTGACTTTCTCTGATTATGAGTTAATGTGAATTTATTGTGTTCCCGAGGGGGAAACATCTCCCTTTTATAGGGTGTTGGAACACGTGCCCAGTACTAGGTTTTAGTAAACCTAGGACTGATTGGGCTTTGCCTAGGAATTTGAGCCGTTAGAGGCCAGTTTCTTGGTTGGCTACTTGCCTGCCACGTGTCATGGCTTGATTGGTCTACCTTGGACCTCTCGCAAGGTGACACGTGGCAGAGCTTGAGAGGTCCACGTGGCGGGGAAAAATCCCCTAATCATTTTCCCCCACAGAAGTGACGTGGCTTGCCACGTGGCGCCTGTGAAAGATGTCACGCTCTGATTGGCTAGCGGTTTTTACGGTTTTTTTTTTTTTTTTTTTTTTTACCCTTGAAATTCCCCTCAATAAATAGGGGATGTCCAAATCATTTGGACATTCTAGAAAACTTTTTTTCCAGACAAAACTTTGGACTTTTGCTCTGACATTTTGAATGACTGCTGCTTGCTTTCAGACCGCCTAATTTCAGACTGCTTGCTTCTTCAGCCGCCCAAATTTTCAAAAGTTCTCAGACTTCTTTACTCAAAGGTAACCGCCTGTTTTCTTTTGCATTTTCTCTGTTTATTTTTCTTTTTTCAAAAATGGTAGCCCAAAAGCACACGGCACGACCTAGGTTAGTGATCAGGCGGTCACCGGGGATGGCTGAATCTAGAACTAGGAGTGACGACATCCATATGCTGGACCACCCTTTGTGAACTGCGCCAAGTCCGACTATCTATGTGTATGTGTAGGACACCATGGCCAGAAGAAAGAGAACGACCAAGATAACAAATTTAGATGGCTCCTCATTTTATGCGCCTATTTGCGAGATCTCGGACGTGCCACCAGGCGCCGCAAGCACCCCGAGTGATTCTATCTTGGCAGACTCAGGGGAGGAGGTACAAAATGATCCTCCTATCATTGATCTATCCGGGCAGGCGGCTGCTTTGCCAGAGAGCTCGAGCAATGACTCTGAGCCCAACACCTCCTGTCGGCACTCTGACGACTCTGAGGAGAAGCACTCTCGGCTACATGCGGCGAGAGAAAGTCATTCAGTGCAAAAAGGAGAGAACTGGGCGGAGCAGTCTGCAAGTCAAAGAAACATGTATGCCCCGTTTTACTGTCACGTTCCCAAAGGCAGGCGAAAGGCAATGTTTGAAAAAATTGGAAGTTTTAGGGCTGACCACATTATGGGTCATGGTTACATCCTTACATTGCCGGATGCCGAGGATACTGTAG